AAACCTAATCTGTTAGGGCAACATTAATCCAGGGAAAACACTTTCTGAAGTGTCCAGAGCTTGTTAACACAGCTAACACCTAAGGCAGCAGTGTGTCTTTAAACTCTTCTAATATTGTACAATAATAATTTTTGTGGAAGAAAATCTTCCCCTCTCCCTGAACAGAAGCAAGACATATTATTGACTGCCATCCAGAAAGATGTATGCTCTGGCCCTCGTCAGTCTATTAATATTTGATGCTGATGGATGTGAGCTGGCAGTTTGAGTTATTAATGGAGTTTGGTTCCTTGGACCTAACCCTCGATATGTAGGGAAGAATTAACAATAACAAGAACTGTATACCCAAACCTCTCATCGTGCTACAAAGGTCTGTTATTTAGTTTCAGCAACAATTAGTTAGTATTTCTGAAGTACTTAAAGGTATAGAAGGTTATATAGGTGGTGTTAGTTACATTAGTGCCACCATTCATTTGATTTAAAGGTGACTTTTTAGGGTCCCAGGGATCACGGATCCCCACCTGTATCTTTGCTACGTTGGGATACTCCCATCAGGTTTGGATTCCAAGCAATACAAGGCTCACTCGTGTTAGCTTCCGGGCAGCTGTGTGGAGACGTGGGACACCCTGTCCTGGGTTGTGCTGAGGCTCCATCTCGCGCGTTGGGGCCTGGGAAGGTGTAATGCCAAGCAGAGGACAGGAACACGCGGCTTCACACCCGGAGCGGGGCATGTACTGGAGCTGGCCCTGATCCCACATCCCGTAAAGAGGGTTTTTCCATTGATTATGTTAGAGTCAGATTTAACCTCTGAAATTAGGAAATAATGCATTGGATGGATTTCAGGGGTATATTTTCATAAAGTGGACCTTCTAAGTGAAAATGGTGAAGAAAGTGAAGCACTTTTGAAAGTTTGTGATGTCCATATGGATCATTGTGACTTGGAAAATAGAGATGTAAAATACCAAGTTATTTATAGCTAGATTTCTTAATATATCTTTAACATTTTCAGGGGTATATCTTTGATTGAATTCGCTACTCCTTCCTATCATGTATACCTCATCCAGGCATTTCACTACTCTCATTAACCTCCCAATCCTAATAGAAAAAAGAATAATCAACATAAGGAGCACAGCTGTTGATTAATTTTACTAAACAGGACAGAAATATAAAGTGCCATATTGCAAGAGAGAAGATTCAACGCACAACGTTTGAAATCAGTTTAATAGAATATATAACTCATTAACAACTGGATAGAGGCATTATTCACTTGGGCAGGTGGTGAGAGGGAGGTGGAATTTCCATATCTTAGCAGTACCTGAGTGCATTTAATTTCATAGGTCATTCTCCCAAATCAAGTTCAAAATGTTAATAACGGTGTGTGCATTTATAATTAATAAAATCTTAGAGCCAGTGCTATAGTTCAAGTGCATTTTCCTCTTACGTAATTAAGAAGTTAAGTGTATTTGGCAGTTGTCACTCAGAGAGCTCTGAAGGTCTCTCTTGTCAAACCCAGGGACAGAGATCTCATTAAGACAGTTACTTTTTCAGTTAAGGTTTGTTTGCCAAGTAAGCGCGTATAAGGCGGACAGCCGGAACGACCAACCTCTGTTAGTCCGTAAAGCGTAGTATATTAAAGTGAATGCCAGAACTCAAAGGCATGTTGACTAAAGATGAAACAGCCTCGTATTTAGCTTGATACAGTACTTTTCTCTGGGATACCCAGAGCGTCTGTGTCTGACTGGCCTCCACGCGGAGCAGGTCTGCGGGGCACCGGTGAACCCGCACCAGCCCGTCGCGCACGCGGCCGGGGAGAGCTCGCCGCGTAACGCGCTGATCTGCGGTCGCAGCGCGTCAGCTGAGGAACTGGAAATCCACCTTCTGCTTCCACCCGTGGCCCAGAGGCTGTTTCAGTTAATCTGGTTCCCGGGGGGTATTTTAGCTCCACATCACCCTGTTCTACTTTCCTTTTCAAAGGAATTCTCTTTTACTTCTCGATCACTAGTTCAAATCCAGATTAAGGTCAGTTGTCATAGAAATTATTAACAGTACCAGCAGTTCTGTGTCGTACATGAAATGAGTTGGGAGTTTCATTCACACACGATACGGCTTTCTAAGTGGCACTAATTGGCTGTCTAATTGTCACACACAGGAGAAAGGCAGAGGACTGATTAGGCGTGGAGGCTGAATGCCCCTCTGCCATCCGGCTCGGCTCCGGGTTCCCGTAGCTCATTCCGTAGGCATGCTGGCAGGGTAATGAGGGGCAGCGTGCTTTGGATTTTCTGGCTGTCCAGACAGCACCTTTTGCTGCCAGGCCTTTTCAGGGGAACTTGTTTTACTCCACGAAGGTCAAAGACAGCATCTTTTACAAACACTGCTTTCCCTCAGAAGTCGGAGAGTCGCAGGATTTACTTCTGAGCGGTACGTATTTTAACCGTTTCTTTTACTTCCCCCTAAAACAAAGTTTTTAGTATAAAATAGGATGAGTCATACTGGTGCCAGGCAGAACTGTTACAGCAAGCATATGGGGGTTTATGGTGCTCAGAAATCTGTTCATATTTCCTTTTAACTGTCTCGGTGTCTGATGCTGTGATATACAGGCTCCTGGAGGTACTTGCCATGGCATAGGGAAGCTGACATTTTGTGCATTTACCTCCTGATAAATGGATCCTCCTATCAAACAGTGAAGCCTCTCACCTGCAAAACACATTTTGGCCAATATCTTTTCCCCTGAGCTATGGTATAGGTCACACTGTGCAATGTAGTTACTATTTAACTTTGGAGTAGGATAGCTTGCTCTGACAGAGAACTAAATTATTAAAGTTTGACTCACCAAAGTAAATTTAGGAGCTAATTTGCGATGTGAAAGTCAGGACTACACACAGAAGAAAAAGGAGCAAAAATCCCTTGTATATGCCAACGTCTGTAGACCCGACTGTGGGACTCGGTAAGTAGGTTTAGAGGAATTGTGCCCACATTTTAATTCCCTTGGCATATCAGGTGAACAATATTAGTAAGATCTGTGTCTCTCCTTTCAGCCACACGAGCCAATCAGTGCACGCAGCGTACTGTAATTTACTGTTGAAATATTCTACGTTTCCGTAACATAAGTATTTACTCTCCTTTCCCTCACTTTGCCCACGCCTACAGCAGAAATAGGACAGAGACCGTCTGTTTCTGTGTTCTGCTCTGCGTGCCCCCCCCTCCGACATACGCATCGCTCCCTGTTCAGAGTTCTTCCTGAAGTCACAGTCTCATGCAAATTAATTGAAAACAAATGCAGGTACCAGCTACGCACCAAAAAGGTCTAATGCACCTGCCGTGTAGTGTTCCTCTCTGCCAGTCTGTGGAAGATGAGCACGTATGAGATCCTTTAGCTTTTTAACAACCCTATTCTTAGAATATATTTTCCAAGAAGTGCAGAGCAATCTTTGCACGGTTTCAGACTGTATATTTTGTGATTAGTGTTTCGTAAGTGATGTTTTGCTTAATGATCTAACATCTGTTCTAGGAGGCTTGTTTTTGTAACTTCCCCACCTCCTG